ATTACTATTAATTAAACCGGTCGATAGTCTAAAAGAGCCTCTTGGTACTTAAGCATCAGCAAGAATACTAACAGTTTTTAAAGAACTTCCCAGAACACCTTCACACTTATGTCAGATAACTAAGTGATGGAATTCACCCAATTTTTATTAGCTTGTAGTATTACTTCTTTTTCTCAGACACATCAATTTTTTTATATTGCATTATGCAACACAAGTAAACAACTTTTTATAACCGTACATGTTACATTTCCTAAAAGAATATTTCTCCGATGTTCTATTTTTCTGTGTGGTAGGTGCATATCATTATTATTCAAACGTTATTTTTGGTACATTTTCCTCAAAGTTCTCAGCATTCCTGTTTTCTTTTCTAGATGCGACGGTCACTGGACAAGAAGCGAACGAAGCACCAAATCCAACTGAAAACATCAACGAAGTGATGTACAGAGACTCGATTTGCATAGGTAGACGACCAGTAGGCATTACATCAAGTTAGTGGGAAAAGGTTTACCGGTGGGAACACCATTGGGTTTTCACTTCCGACTGGTTTCGTTTAGGGTAACCACAAACCCACTAGGGGTGGGAGTGAGTTGTAGCGGTAGGTAATTCCCCAGAATTATTGGCCACAGAATTCATCACTGAATATTGGATGCTGACGCTCACTGTTTGAGTCGATTTGTCTAGCTGAAGGCTTCCGGCCAAGCATCCACGCCACTTGGCACGCCGTCGTGTTACATTCGTGCACGATCCTTAGCTAGTTAAGCAATCATCTCGCAATCCGATTTGGTCCAGAAATATAATTCGTAATTTAGACGGTCAATTCTGGTGTTTGTCTTTGCCTTTGGTGTACGCAGAAAAATACTATAGAAGTTGTGGGTATTAGACCTCGTGTTATTATACTTCGTAATATCTGTGAATGTCAACATCCTCAGCCTCTAAATACTAAGCGTAGTTTTTCGTGCAGTTCTTCAATAATTTTTCCCCTAGGAAATGTATCTGTCATTATCCAAGCGATTAGATCGTGTTCAGATGAAATAGATCGTTTCCAGTGGGGTATTAGTTGCTCTCTAATTAACAGTAAGGTTTTCGGGAGAAATAGCACATAATTTCCACAAATAATTCGAAGCATGTTAGAACCCGAGTTTCACTGGCTTGTATTCGAATTAAATCCAATTCCGCTTGACAACAACACTATCTGCATGATTACAAATCTAGATAAGGAAACCTACCTCCAACATTTCAGCTTGACCTTTGCAGGCTGTGTCGACATGGTCTTGTCAAAAATATTTACAGGTGTAAAACAGGAGTAGGATCCCCTGATGTTTTTGATAATACAAGTGACTACAAGTCAGTTACCCATTAGCCAGTAAAGTGTTAACTTTCTGAGTCAAAGACCGCTAAACATCTCCTTACAGTTAATCGAAAACTCACTCAAAAATGCCCCAGTTTAGTGAAACCACTGACACATCTTCTTTGAAGAGATACTAGGGGCGTGAATCTCGACTCATCTACTAAAAACGCTTTCGTTAGCGTTAAAAAGCCATCACAGATACCACTCTTCTGATTCATCAAAGTCTGACAGCACTTTCATGTATCCGATGTTGCAATCGGTGCATTTCTACGACAAGTGGTTAAATATACGTGGCAACTATTTTATTGAGACGATTCATCAGAGAAATAAAGTACAGGTTCGTGTTCTGCTATGCGTTACTTTTTACATTCGATGGAAAGTCGTGAATTGATCATTTCCACAGACCATATAGAATTTACATACCCTTCAAAGTCAATATCAGATATTCACCTGGATGACCACTCCACCCAGACTACATTACACAATTTACCTCAGATGCCCACCGAGTGTCTGGGGATAATAAAACTACATCAGATGCCTTGACACAAATCTCGTCCTCCTTCTTAATTGATGCAACAGGCTTTGTGATTCTGTTCCATCTTAACAAAAGTGTGTCTCAGTCTAAAAATTACAAGAGGAGACGTTGGCATAGGCAAGAATACTATTCTTTCTGATGATTCCACATATACTCATCCGATTTTATTTGAAATTTACCGATTCAACATCTTCAACACGTCACACAACTTATCTAACCCAGTCATCTTGGCTATATTCAAACTCGTCACTGGTCTGTCGTATTGACCTGATATATGTATTTCGGTAAAGCACTGTGCTGTTATGTGCATTGCTCTCTAAAATGTCGAAGTAATAAGGAACATAAAAAGTTTTCTTGGTCCTTTACTTGCTACCAGGCGCCCGCTCCGACCACATCAAGATGAATGTAGTTGAAAATCTACCAGAATTTCACGGAAATACTCATATGGTGACATGTGTTGGCTATTAAGCTCCTGGCCTGAGATAGCACTCCTCGAAGACGAATTTGCTGACACAGTTACAGGTGTTTTCGTGGAGGCATTGATTACCAGTCTCGGGTATTCATCTTCTATAACGACTGGACATATACGGCCTTTCAAAAGTGGTATATTTAAAACTCAGGTTTTGCTAATTGTTGATATATGCTTCAGAACTACACACCCTACCATCCTCAGACAAACTGGATGGTAGAATTCTTCCATCTACAGTTAAATACAGGACTGTCAGTCGCAAACACCACAAACTGAGTCGAGTCACTACTATTAGTGCCCTTCGGGATACGGAGTGCCGTGAAGGATGGTACTGGGCGTATATTCTGGAGAGCGTCGGTGGCACAGTGGTTAGGACTCTCGCCGACCATGCACATGGTCCGGGGTTCGAGCCCACGCCGGCGCACACCTGATATCTATGGTCGGCCTGCCAAATTTGGGCTACCGATATCCATGCTGAAAATTCCATACTTGTAGCAAAAATACAGTGTGGAATCAAGCTGTAAATAAAAAATAAAAAAAATAGAGATCTCGATGTTCCCAGCGAGCCTCCACACTTATCTTACAGAGTGGAATGAACATGCATCATTTTTGAGAAGTTAACTGTTTTGGTTAGGACCTAATTTTTTCGTTAAATGAGGATTAATGTTTGCTGTAGCACACATCGTACAGTGAATGTACTCTTTGTGACTGTGCATGCACATGTAGTGCTTTCTTCAAATGTTCTCCGTTTTTTCCTAGTCATGAATGACCTTTCCAATTCAGCTATTGCTGATTGTTTTTTCAATTAAGTTCTCAATTTTCCCTGGATTGCATTTGAGATGCAATGGGCACTGGATTAGCAACAAACGAAGCTCCGGAATGTGTGGACGAAACTTAGACGAATCTTTGTGGATATATCACACCGGCAAATGCAGAAGAGGGGGGAGGTGCTTGTCTCCATTGTGCCCATCGGCAGTCTTCATGACGATGCCATTAGTCAATTTTTACTTAGCGAAGATCCAGGGTCCTCATGAACCGACTACGACAAGAGTAGGCTTTAGTGGCGGGGCTATTCCTCAAAATTACTATGTTGATATGTCTTACTTATTAACTGTTATTATTAACACTTTGATCTCCCTCTTATTATTATTACTCGTGATTCATTTAAAACTATCTTTCATCAGTAGCATTATCTTAACTCATTTCGACATCATTATTATTACTCAGTTCGCAATTCTTGATATATTTAAGTTTCATCTCTAATGTCTAATTGTTTATCTAAGCGATGTAATTGAAGCATAATGCATTTTATTTTAATCTTTCATATTCCCTTCCTCCCCTTATCTATTTGAAAATGACCTGAAAAACATTCCCATATGACGTTTTGCTTGATTCATTCAATTTAGTTTATTTGTTTATCAGTCTTATATCTCCCCAATGTATTTCTAATAGTATAAATAACCATGTATGCAGAGTATTCAGCTGAAGAGTTCACCGAAATTTGATGAATTCATCCTGCTCTACTAACCTTTGTTGCTTAGTTTAAATCTGTCTCGGGTAGTAAGTGTTTCTAATCCTATGTTGACTAACATTGATCGGCGAGTAGAATTGACAAGAAACTGCACTACATTGTTTTACCATAAGTTCTTATTTTAAACACAATCTTACGGTTTCTTTGCGCACATATGTAAACAATGCCTGATAATTGCAGATGTAGCCAGGGTAGCGGGAAGGATAAGTGACTAACTTAAAACAACGTGGGCAGCTCCTCCATCATAGTTTGGAACTCTTCAACAGCAAGCGAAATATGGTGCAAAATGGCAGAAGTCAGAATTCATGAGCCACTGAGTCAGGGACCTAGTGACTTAATAGTCTACAAGCCTTCCTTGTAACTTGAAGGCTCTGGGTCCAAAAGCCAGTAGGGGAGTAACACTGAAGAGTTCCACGAGGGGACGAGACATCTTTTCAGTGCTCCTTAATTTTCCAGTGGTTCTCTAACTGACGTCAGCTCATGATCAAATCTGTGCCCAGTCAGATCCCTGCAACCAACACCTGAACATTAGCAAAATCTACTAAATACTCGACTGGTTAGTAAATACACATAAACTCCCCACTTTAATAATGAAATGACGGACTTCGCTAAAAACACTGGAAGTAATGGACATTGAAAGTTCTAGAATAAGACTGGAAAACACCTTAAAATCATTCATTATATTTTTAATAGTGATTGATCGATAATAGTATGTGCTAGTAGCAGATATACATACATTTAAAAATGCAGAATAGTGTTCAGTACAGTCTAGTACAACTCAACAATAAATACTTCAATTTCCGAGTGTTGGTTCGCAGGGATCTGATTTGGTGATTTACAGATTTGATCACGAGCTAACATCAGTCAGAGAACCGTTGGAAAACCAGGGAGTACCGAATAGGTGTTTCGTCCTCTTGTAGGACTCTTCGTCAGTACTCACTCATTGGATTTCGGATTCATTAACTTCCAGTCACAAGACAAGCTTGTAGAACATTCAGCCACTGGGACTCGATCCAATGGCCCATGAATTCCAACTTTAACCAATTCGCGAAGTATAATACGGCGCAAACACAAGCTAATGCCACAGGCGTGCAACTATCCTCTAAACAGACCAGTTCTGAAAACCCTACTTTCTGTGGTTATAGCAAACTAACTATGCGTCTTCATGCAAGTCGATAGCTTTTGAGAATTAATCGAAAATGCATTTCTTTAAAATAAAGCTTTTGATAAATATTAAAATATTAACAAAATAGATCTGATATTTTTAAAAAGGTATCATTGTTACAATACACAATTGATGTCACGCTTCATTTTTTGTTGAATCACCTGTGTTTATCTTCAAACATTCTTTCACAGTATTAGACAGTTTGTGTATATCAGCACTTTCATCTTCTTTCAATGAGCCAGTATCTCCACCGTGAGAGTCTCTAGAGGGTTCTGTAAAAAATGGAGTCATCGGAAGTGTAAAAATACTTGAAATATATACAGTTTGTAACTATTTGATTTTCGGTTAATTGACGAAGAAAATGAAAGATAAATATAGCTGGTAAAGGTCAACTAGAGTCTAGCTGTAAAGAAAGTCGTGACCAGTGAGGTCCAATTAGATGTCATGTGTGTGGATGGATGTCCCACCAACGACAGTGGTCGGGGTCGCGCTAAATCACGAATTGGTAGAAGTTAGAATTCATGAGCCATTGAATCGGGTCCCAGTGGCTGAATGGTATACGAACTTGCCTTGTAACCGGAAGGTCCCGGGTTCGAACCCTGGTGGTGGGTGCGTACTGCCGATGATTCCCAAACTAGGATGAAACAGCAACTGTCCAGTACTCCCTGGTTTTCAATGGTTCTCTAACTGATATCAATCCGTGATCAACTTGTAAAGAAAGAGTTTCTAAATTAGTCAGTAAGACGTTCACTGCAGCTGAATACTTCGATTATCCTTCACCAACCGTAAGTATTTTTTCTTCTCTGTAAAAAATAAGCCCTCTCGTCTGACCACCTCCATGTGCATCTATCAGTTCACCTGCTCTTGTGAAGTAAAGTACATCAGCTGTGGCTAATGCGAATGCTTTCTACACGAATAAAAGAGCCCATTTCAGCATGGTTTTACAAAGAAGAATGAGTGTGAAAAGCCCTATTCTAGAAAACTTGATTGACATCTGCCACTATGATTGACTGGTTTCAACACAGAACTCTGTATAGAAGTGCAGTAGTCTGAGTTGTTATGCATTATGTAGTACACAAAGGAAGACAAAAAAGAAGCAAAAGAACAATGGTAAGCAGAAAAGTGGGAGAGAGAAAGAATAGTAACATAGAAAAACAATAGGTATGACTGATCACAAAAAATGAGAGCAACTGCGTCACCAAACACAGCTTCATCAGTCAATGATATCCATAACAGTTAGCGTAAGCGAAGTGGGAAGGTGCAGCCTTTCTGGTTGGAGTCGTCGGGATGGTGAAAACCGGAGACTGGAGACAATCGGTGATATGGTTCAAAATTGTTCTGGGTGATGGTGCAGATGCATTCAATCTTTATCATTTATAACATCTAATAAAATTTTATTGTTCTTCCATATCATCATTATGTTTGCCTTATATCTCTGTTTATTACCTCTTTTTACTCTCTTCTCTTGCTTTGTGTGCCACATGGACTGTGGCAACTGGAACTGCTGTACATCTGTACAAAGCTCTACACATTGGAATCAGTCAGTCAGTTTTGCTTTCACTTAGAATAATTTCCAGTATTATTTCACTTGTCCCATTTATTATTTTAAGTTAAAATATTTTCTGTAATCTTAAAATGTATCCTATCAAACTTCTTACGCTGTTTTATTTTTTGTTTCCTATCTCTACTAATCCTACTAATTTCACATTCCTTCCCAAGATCTATACACTGTATGAACCATTCTATATCTAAGATTATCTGTTTTATCACTTGATATTTAGATATGATCATAATCGCACAGGTGCATCGGTGGCACAGCAGTTGGGACGCTCGCCGACTATGCACATGGTCCGGGGTTCGATACCCGGCCGACACACTCCTTTACCTCGGCTAAGCCAGAAATAATGCTGGTAAAGAGGAAAGGATTGGCATGAGGCTAGCAACCCCATCCTGTGAAATTAAACACTGCTACAGAAACTTCAAGCCTCTACCTTGGAGCCCTATGTTCCACTGGGAACGTGAAGGTAAAATAAAAAAATAATCGCAAACATTTAAATTGCATTTTACATTATTGTTATTTTAAGGATTCACACCTTTGTCTTAATTTCCTTATGGGATATAGTTTCTTACGAAACATATATATACCATTGTGCAGATTGATAATAAATTGCTTGAAAAGAATATCTCTTCGCTTAATATCATGTTCTTACATCCTCTTTTTCCGACAATTAACTGACAAAACAACGTAGAACTCTACGGTATTAATTTAATTCGCCACACTTTAAAAAGGCCATCATTAACTTAAATCATGAACTATGCATAAAAAAAATCTCGTTCCTCTCTCTACATTATTTTCGCTAATAAATGTATAATGGAGAATATTCAAATAGTGAAATAAAAAATCAGACTGTTTACAAAACCACAAGAATTTTAGCATATCACTATTTTGAACAAAGAAAATAAAGAAACCTTATAGTCAGAGAAATTAAACCTGCACGATACAATTATGCAGTGGGTGACAAGAAAATTATAAGATTCTAGTGTTAAATAAAAAATTCGTAAAGTTTGACATTGAAAAAGTAAAAGTAGAATTTGGACATTGTGGTAGATCACAGTTCCACATAACTCAAGTTTATCTGATATAAAACACAGTGATACAGTATTTACAGATGGGTTAAGTTTCAAGCAATACTTTATCGCTCATGCAGTCATTTTACACGCCTGCCTAGCTTATACAACTTTCTCCCACTGTGAATGCGTTTTTCCATATATATATGTATATCCTGGGCTGAACACTTCAAAAGACTTCTAAATCGAACGCCACCAAAAAGGCGTCCAACAATACCAACGGAAGCAGAACTACCAGTGAACATCAAGACCCCCCCCGACGAGACCAGAAGCCCTGAATGCAATCAAGATGCTAAAAGCTGGAAAAGCAGCAGGACCAAATGGAATTCCAGCAGAAGCTTTGAAAATGGACCCAGAGACAACAGCGGACTTGATGATGCCATTACTGGAGAAAATGTGGAAAGAGAGCAAAGTACCCGAGAATTGGAAGAAGGGATACTTATTCAAACTACCAAAGAAAGGAGATTTAAGTCAATGCAAAAACTGGCGCGGAATTATGCTCCTGTCCATTCCAAGCAAAATACTAAGCCGCATCATCCTAGAGAGAATCAAACACGCTAACCTGGATGAAAAACTTCGACCGAAACAGGCTGGATTCAGGAGAAACAAGTCATGCATCGATCAAATCGCCACTCTATGGATCATCACTGAGTAAAGCTTGGAATGGCAGTCAGCTTTCTATCTCAACTTCATCGACTTTGAAGAAACCTTCAGCGGACGGCGTCAATCAACAGGTCATTTGGCAACTACTTTGCTACTACTGTGGGGTCCCATCGACAATTATACATCTCATCCAACAGTTATACGACAATGCTGCATGCCAAGTAATCCACAACGGGAAACTTACGAAAGCCTTCGAAGTGAGGACGGGAGTGAGGCAAGGATGTCTACTATCACCAATGATCTTCCTGATTGCAGTAGACTGGATAATGAGACAGACAACGGGCGATGAGGAAACAGACATAAAATGGACTCACACAAAAGACTTGGAGGATCTGGACTTCACCGATGATATATGTCTGATTTCCCACAAACGGGAAGATATGCAAGTGAAAAGCAACAAGCTGGCAGAAGAAGCATCAAAGATAGGACTACAGGTGAACATAGATAAAACAGGGGTCATGAAGATTCCTGGCCAACAACAACAGACAACAATCAGCATAAATGGGAGGAACCTCAAGAAACCACCTTCTTTACCTACTTAACTGGGAAGCATCATTTCAACTACAGGCGGATGGAACTGATGAGGATATCAAAGCAAGGATCGGGAAAGCAAAGCGAGCTTTCATTTCTCTCAAGTCTGTGTGGAGGTCAACAGCACTCACCATCAAAAATAAGATCCGGATTTTCAAATCCAATGTGAAGTCAGTCAGTTCTACTATACGGACCAAAGACTTGGGGCGTCATAAAGAGCACCTCAAACAAACTACAGACCTTTATCAACAGTTGTCTTCGCTCAATACTACTCAAGATCAGATGGCTGGCCAGAAAAGATCAGCAACAGGGATCTCTGGCAATGAGTGAACCAACCAGGAACCGATTGTGAGACAAATAGGCAGGAAGAAATGGAGATGGATTGGCCATACTCTGAGGAAACCATCAAGTGACATCACTAGACAAGCTCTCGAGTGGAACCCGAAAGGGAAGCGGCGAGTTGGTCGTCCAAGGGTGACTTGGAGGAGGTCATGTGAAGAGGAGATGAAAGCATGTGGGCAGACTTGGAGCTGGGTGAAAACGTTGGCAGAGGACCGAACGCAATGGAGATGCGCGTTTGAAGCCCTATGTTCCTCTAGGAATTAAAGGAAATAATAATACAATAATGAGGTCTGATGTGTGCGGTGAGGCTCATTAGGTTTAGTACGAATTTGTAAGAGATTCAGTGGTAAGTCTTACCACTTAGAGTTTAAGGACAGTGGGAGCGTGAAAATATTTATATCAAAATTTGAGAAGTAGAAATTCAGGTAATCTCAATAAAAATCCATAAGAGATTAACCCAACACCAGATTACTCTGCCTCACAGCAGAGCTAGTAAGCTGAGTGGTAAAATTACATACTTAACCGAAAGATCTCAGTTAACACTACAGACTTACCAACTACAGTTATAAACTATTACTAAATCCCAGTTGCAGATATTAAGCAGGTGGTATCAATCAAGTATTCTATGTGGAATACAAGTTTTACATACTTTTATGCGTATAAAATAGAAAAATATATATGAACGGATAATACAGATATATCACTTACTTTTGTCTGTACATTTTCCTACGGACGCTTGACGACCTTCTTCGAACAATTTTTGGAACTCTTCTGCAACTAAATATTAAATATGGAAAATAAAATGAGCTGAAAACCTGTGATTTCTATGACATGAAATATCTTTGTCAACCCTAAAACTTATACTGAATAGATATAAATAGATAATAATAGAACCATTATGCGCAAACTGTTAATCAACCCAAATCAGCATGAACTTATATCGTCTGAATACTAAAATGAAATGGAATGCATACGATACAGTTGTACAAATGTCATAGGTAAGTATAGGTGAACTGTGAGTATATTCGAAGAACCAATTGAATAGCTCAATGTACCCCACTTCAATGTAGTATGATCTGAATACATCAAGGTATTTAAATTTGAGATAGTGAGGGCAATTAAAAAAATATTTTCTTCGTTGTCATGGCATTTAGATGAATAACACCTTAAACTTCTGCAAAAAACTTAGTGTTTATAAATGTTGTACAGTTACATTTAATGACAAGTGATTGTTGACACATGTAAGAGATGGTACAACGAATACTTATAAGATTTATCCCAAATTTTCGGGAGATTTTTAGAGGGGGGGAGCTCCTACTTAGTGACAATATTTCATTTTAATACATTAAATTGAGAAAAGTATTTGGTGTTTTAGTGCTGTCCTTAGTCATCCATCCAAACTAACTTGATGCAACAATCTACACTAGATATTTAACTGTAAGATGCATGGTCTTCAGTTGGACTAAGAATTTATAACTGCGTGATAAAGTCTTAATGAGTACAGCTGTGTAAAATCCACGTAAACTGAACAGCAATTACTTCCAAATATATTAAAATTGAACTAGTAACTAGTTACCAGGGAAAAAATTAGCAAAACGCTGAGGTGTGGCTCCGCTAGACAAAATACTCAGTGAATAGTGTGGAAAACTGCAACTCACTAAAGATTAAAAACTATTTTAAGGGCTGGAGGTATTTTAATAACTCACATTTTTCATTAGCAAACCTAATTCCCAATGACTCGGGTTTCACAACCTCATCTGCATAGTCAGCCAGTGTGCTCCAAACAAAAGCCTTGGTACTACCACAATTTGGGCGCAGTTGCATACTATCTAATATAAAGTGATTAGCACACACCTAATCCTTTATGTAAAGTAACGAAATAGTAAACCTTGAAAGTACGATCACGACGCATTAGGAGGCGATAGCACCCGCTAGTCTTGTGACGAAGAATTTTCAGAATTCCAACCCCACGTTCTTTCCACTCTGGTGGATCTTCAACGGTATCAAAGCGAAATAGCTGCGCCCTCCTAAAAATGTTAGAGATGCTTTTGTCTGATATACTGTTGAAATAGACAGTCTTCATTTTCTTCAGAATTAGAAATGGTTACGGGTGGGAGAGTAACCACTGGTTCGAAGAATAACTCCTGCTCTTCGTGCTATGCAGTCTGATAAAAAGTGGCTAAACCCTCACCTCTGACTCGCTTGGCATGGTCTGAACGACTGAAATTGGACTGACTTGTGCGCGATTTCTACAGCTACTGAAGGTCACTCAATCGTCCCAGATTGAGTAGAAACAAACAATTTTGTGTGCTATAAATTCGTTCAAAAATATAGAGTGTATAAAATTCTAGTAGCACTCAGTAAAATTACCACAAAATTTGCTTTGTCTTCATCCTCTGGAGAGTAATATATGTGTACGAGGTATTATGGGGAAAATAAACAACCGACAACCAGAAGAACGAACACACGAGTGACATCGGATTGTTTAGTCAAATCAAAGTAGCAAAATATCAGGTAAATGTTGCTGTATTTTCAATTGTCGGTTTAATAACACTGGCGTAATCCTATTTAACCTAGCTACACATGTGATACGCTGCAGTATATATAGGTGTTCTTATGTCACTGACTTAGCTAAAAGCCTACAGCTACTGATCGCATTACATGACCATTTGAGCTTCTCCGTTTTCTTTTCACCGAGTGCCGATTTATATTTAAAAAATTCTTAGTCAACTTTTGCTATCTTTTGCCTCTATCTGTGAGTAAATATGAAAATCTTTTCCTATAGTCTCAAGTTTATTCCTATTTCAGTCACCTACTCTTATGTACTCTTCTGTATTGGCTTTTTCCACTTCCAATGAAGGGAGAGGTTATACATTGTAAATGTATTTGAGGTCCAAATAGCAGAAATGTCAGATTAACTAAGTATTGGAGGACCATTTTAAATCAAATCACTCCAAAATTTATAAACCAAATCCCCAGTTTTCACATTTTACTTTGGAGACCGAAATTACTTGGACAAGAAACCGTTGTCTGCTTTAGGCTATAAATGGTAATCAAGAAACCAAGTTCTTATCAACATGCAATACTGATTGATTGAAATGAGTGGGCTTGTGTCAGAACAAATTTATCTGAACATCGGACTACATTTTTGATCGTCAGGGGTCGAACTTATCAGAGATGTATCAGGTTTAGTTGAGCCTGGAGGGCCGAGTCATTTTGAAAGAATCTCTTTCATGCTGGATGCCTAGGCGGACTGATCTAGTTCTATAAGTTGAACCAATCCGCGCAGATCACTGATGAATTCGGTTTCCAAAGAGGGAAACGGAAGTCCAGTGTTCCAGCAAATTAGATCTGACTATTAGGGGCTACCGGCTGACAAGAATGGCATACGACTACTCATTTCAATAAACCAGTAGTTTATAGGTTTACACAACAAATACACATAAAAAATGTACTTTCAAGTACATATGATGCAGACCATGGAACCTGAGCGGGGAAACCGACCAATCAAGTTATTTTTGTCTCTTGTTTTCTAGGGTTAAAATATGTTCATGTCTAGGAGAATGAAACATGTATTTAGAACGTGCAGGCTCCAAAAACATAACGGACAGCTGACTTCGAAGTGTGCAAACAAACTGAGTGTCATTCTGGAATCTTTTTCTGCTGTCCACATACTTGGACATTAGAAGATATATTCTTTTGATAGGTAATCTCAGTGAATTACAACTTCTTCCAGGTTCAAGTAATCTAAATCTCATTATTGAGCGTTGGGAAAAGCTGTGTGATTCAAAATTTTATCCCTTTGAGAGGAAACGTTAACCACAGTGAGATCTGGAATCGTCGTAGTCTGGGAGTGTACTTATCTACAGATAGACTGTCAATGGAGTTGAAGATTGAACGATCAATTCTTGGTTGTTTGCTCAAAATCAACTTCCCCGATTTTCGCGGAGGCATCAATACGACAGTCATCGTCTCATCGGTCGCTGTTCAGAAAGAAGAGTAAAATATCGTCAGAAACCTTAGTTCGCTTATTCCTTTTATATGTTGGTGTAACAATAAACAAATCTAAAGCGGCAGATCAGTGTTTTGGTTTTTGCGTCCGTTATAACTAAGCGTTTCTGAGAAATCTTCGAAGAACAGCGTGGGCCCGAGCGTAGCGAGAGCTGGGCATTAACGGTTTATGAGACGTGATTGACAGTTTCTGACGATAGAAACAGATCTGGCGGATTCAAACAGTTGGTGAAAGTTTGGATAGTCGCCGTTCATTTTTCCTGGTGCCGGTCAAGTCCTCTTTGAACAAGCAATATCTGGAACTTTTTGGAATTGGGTCAAGTTCAACAATGCCTGGGTCAAAGAAGGGACAGAGTGTCTTGGATGCAAACAGGAAAGTAAGTCATGGTGACTTGTCTGTTAATTGTAACGATGTGTCTGATGTTAAGCATGACATGGTTGATGTTACTGTTTCGCCGTTCAGGGATAATAGGAACATCAAACTCCCTAAATTTGAACCACGGTGTTTTGATGGAAACCCGGCTGATTATTTACAATTTGTAAAGGAGTTTGAGATCATGTTGAGTGGTTTTTTATTAAATGATGAATTGAAGTTAATGTATTTGATGAGATATTGCACTGGAGATGCTGCAAGAGCTATACAGTGCTGTAAGTTTATGAAGCCAAAAGAGGGCTACTACGAGGCTATGAGCATATTACGTCAAAGGTTTGGAAGACCTTCGATGATTGCAGGGAAATTATTCGAGGCTGTTAAGGGTAATGGTGGTCAATTACAGGATGACTCCCAGGCACTCACTGAGTTTTTAGATAATTTGCTAATTTACAAGAATGGAATGATTTCGATGAATCGCATGAGTGACCTCAACTCGAGTTTTATACTAGAAGTAATAGCAAGACGTCTACCTACTCGACTGCAAAGGAAGTGGGTGAAGATGAGCTCCCGTATGGAGGATGAGGGTATCGAGCCAAAGTTTGATGATATCCTGAAACTGGTGAAAGATAGTGTCAATCAATCTATGAGCAAGTTTGCCAGTCTATTGAATCTCACCCCTAGAATAGAGCAGTCTGAGAGCAAAATGCAATCATTGATGACGAGTAGGCCTCAGAGAGGTGGATATCGAGAAGGCTCCATGATGTCTAGTAATGCATATAGACCTAGTGAGTGTAACAGGTTTCGTAGTACATCCTCAACAGATAAGTTACAAGATGCAAGACAAACACGGTTGTGTTTTACACGTTTGCAAGAGGTGCATACAGAAGTGAACTGTGAACCAGTGAGCAAGTTCAGTGATAAGCTAAATGTAAACTCCAGGCCTGACTCCGAATTGTGTGACGATATTTGTGCCGTCAAGAAGTCTGTAGTTGCAACTGGTAAGCCATTGTTGAATAGAGTGTCACAGAATAGAGTTACTGCTTCAGAGTGGAGTTCTGACTCCACAAGTTTACAAAGTATAACTAGTCAGAGTGAAGATATAAAACCTTTAATGATTTGTGAGGAGGAACCAAAATTGTCTACTTCTGTTATTAAAGAGTTTGAAAATGATGAACTTGACGGTAAAGTGAATATTCGTGATAATGATCATGATACTTCACATTTGTCTTTGGTTGATCATGATGAGATGAGGGATATGCCTACTACTGCTAAGTTGAACAAAGTTTCTGTACAACTAGAACGTGAAGTAGAAATAAATGCAGTTGCAGAAGTTATGGATACTTGTGAGACCGTCAGTGTGATTGATCAGCATGTAGCCCACCTATCATCAGATGCTAGTGCTAAACCTGAGCTGATAGTAAAAGACAGCAGTGGTGGTGGTCTTGCAGGTAGACAAATTTCTGAAAGTCGAGCAACAACAGCTTTTGATCCACCGCTAACTTCATCAACTGATATCAATCAGTCGTCGTTGGTGCTGTCATCCACAATGAAACAGATGCCCATCAACTCAAGTATCTTGTGCAATGACTATGATAGTATCAGTTCGTTTGAAAGGACGAATATCAATGGTCAGTTTAGTGAGGATAAGCCAAGTGTAAACGAGAGAGTAATTGTTAAATTGACTTGCACGAATAAAGGCATTTCTAGTTTCAAGTTACTATTTGAATGTTATTATCTTTGGTGTAAATTACTCTGTTTCTATACTTGGTTGATGAGATATGTCGTGTGTTTGTTGGTCATCTATATTCTACGATACAATGACATGGGCGTGTTGCCGTTCAGATTTGAGGATATAGCTGATAGAAGGAAGTTAGCAAATGAACTCTGCGACGATTTTCCAACCTAGAGCGTCAACCTGAGAAGGGTTGTAGGCGTACTGCTGTAAGTCCTACAGTTCTTCAAAGGGTAGCGCATCAATGAGCAGTCCAATGTGCTTGGTGTGTGATTTTGTACATATGTTCATATTGTATATACTGAATTGATATCATCTGTCATCTAGCTGTTGGTAATTCTGTTTGTGTCCGGACGACTTCCACTTGGATCATCAACCTGAGAAGGAATGTAGGCGTACTGCTGTAAGTCCTACAGTTCTTCAAGGGTAGTTTGTCATGCCAGAATCCACAACATTTGATGTGTTGATTGTACATATGTTTGTGTTAAATAATTGTGTGAGTTCCAATTGATGTAATTGTTGGTTAATCTTGTTTGTGTCCGTACATTCCACAAATTACAATCGTCAACCTGAGAAGGGTTGTAGGCGTACTGGTGTAAGTCCTGCAATTCTTCAAAGGAATTCCACCAAGACATGATCGGCGAGGTTGTTTGTACTATTTGTATATACGTGTGGTGTGTCATATCAATTGGTGTATTTTGGATTCATTGTGTTTACTTGTTGTTTTCGTGTCTTGTTGTTATTGCGTAATTTTGTTAAAATTTTCGTCGTGATTACTTCTGAAGTTGTTTCGAGTCTTCTACATCCATGAATGAATTGATTGATGTTAAGGACAGCAGATGGGTCGTATACGCCGGGGAGGCTAGGCTATTGCTGAGAATGAAATGCACACGGAGATAATTGTTAGCTGCGGTCCGACACGCCGGGGAGAAAGAGTGTAAACGACTGAGGCTCGCATGCGTCACCGCTACTAGAACTGAGGCAGAATGAGTGACAAGCGATTTCAGTGGTAATTGGTAGTGAATAGAAAAGAGGATGCTTGAAGAGTATCATGAGGTGGTGCTATGGTCACGTTGCATTCTGCAAGAGTCATTCTAGTAAGTGGCGATTGTGTTGCAAGATGTCAAGAGGAGGTCTCTGTCTGGAGGCGCAGGTCGTCAGCGATGTGTGAGATTGTGCTGTGGGTATGCTTGTGGTGTGTTGGCTTTTCTGTTTGTTTTCCATTTCAGCTCTGTCCGTGTGACCCAGGTTCTCGCAATGGCATCCAAGTCAACGTGCATTGGTCGTGAAGGAAAAAAGGGTTGGATCCCTTTTTTGC